TCCCTCCCTCCCTCCCTCCCTCCCTCCCTCCCTCCCCCACTGCAGTATCTGGGAGGCCATCAAAAGTAGCAGCTCTCTGACTAGAGAACTGGGATCACTAGCTGCTGGCACAAAAAGATTAGTGTTACTTAAAATAACAGCAGATTTGTCAGCTTTATTGTTGTGAATACAGGTAGCAAGTACTCAGGAGGTGTTCTGCTCCAAGTCTGGGGAGCATAAATGTGTAATTGTGACCTGCAGTTCCTAGGCATCCTGATTTTGTATTGGGAGGTGGCAAGGCCCTTGTCCTTGGCCCCTTCTTTTCTGATCGCCTTCCCCTTCCCCTCTAGTGTTCTGTATATCTCCCTCCATCGCTATGACAATGGCACTTTCTTCCCCACTTCTGAGGATGCAGACTATGACCGGGTGGGTGTGGGGCCTGGTGAAGGCTTCACCCTTAATGTGCCTTGGAACTGTTCCCGCATGGGAGACTCTGAGTATCTGGCTGCCTTCCATCAGATTGTCATGCCTGTTAGCTATGAGGTAGGCACTGAATATTCATGACGGGAAGTTTTGGGAGTGGCCTGAATAGTGCCATGATGCCAGTTGCTAGATGTGATGAAAGAGAGAGAGAACGATGGGGGGAGGGGGCTATTGAGTATTATTTATTTAATCAAATTTATAATGGCCGCCCATCTTACACAAGTGACTCTGGGCAGCGTACAATAAAACCAACAATGAAAACTTTCTACAGAGATATCCAAGGCATTTAGAGCCCAAACAGTCCTTTTTCAGGGAAATGCAGAAATTAAGATTCCTAGCCACTGATCTAGAGCTTGTAGCCATGTCATTTGGCTAAGATAACTGGGTGGTCTCTAGGTAGGTTGGATTAGCGCTCCCAAGAGCCCAACCCATCCTGGCTTATGTTCAGGGATTCTGGGACTTGCTAGTTAAAGTATCTGAAGAGAACTAGGCTGCCTGCACCTGGCCTCCAGTGGTAGAAAGGGCTGGCCCAGGCAAGGGGGTAAACTAGTAGGAAAAACGGAGGGTTCACTTACAATGTGTGTTTTCTAGTTCAATCCAGAGCTGGTCCTGGTGTCGGCTGGTTTTGATGCTGCCCGAGGGGACCCGTTGGGAGGGTGTCTCGTGACCCCAGAATGCTATGCCCATATGACCCACTTCCTCTTGGGCTTGGCAGGAGGGAAGGTAGCCGTTGTCCTAGAGGTATGTCAGAAGTCTCTCTTTACTATCTGGCGGAGCCCTGCTTGTGAGCCAGGGAGCTACTTTTGAGCATGGGTGGATAGGCAGTGAGGAAATCGGAGCTGGAATCCAGTGGGGTGAAAATGGCTTGAGGGAGTTTCAGGAAAAAATTAAGTATTCTTCTCCACTCCTTTGTTTTGTTCTCCATTTCAAAGCAAGAAAAAGGCTACTGAAACTATACTTGCCATTCAGCATTTCTGTTCCGATGAGGAAAAGTCCAAATGCTGCATTTGGAAAGAGTTCTGCTGGGAGGAAGAGGAGAAACGTGCTGAATGTTACCTTCCAACCCTAGTGCCGCCACCCAGCCCCGATGTTAACTTTTATTCATTGTCATTTTAAATAAAGCAGAAGCCAGCAAGCTACAAAGTACCAGGTTCTCATGTCAGCATTATTTACAAGAATGCCTATGGGCTCCATGTGGGCCCCAGAGGACTTCTGACCCAGGGAAAAAGCAGGGTGGCTATCACCCCATGCTTTATTTGGAAGGAGGAGACCTGCTGAGAGAGCAGTCAAAGATAAACTAAAGTGGGAGAGAATATCTTGGAAGGCTGCAGTGGCATTCTCACAAGCTGTCATCTGCTAGATTGGAGTGTTGGGTATGGTCACAATCATCATAGCTGCCATTGTGAGAATAGGCAACTGTTTTATGAGAATACCCACAATATATTCTCAAAGTTCCCAATGTGCCCACCTAACTCAGGGTAATATGTACAGGTAGTCCTCGCTTACTGATGTGATCATAAAGTGTGGCGTTACGTGACCGTGCTGACTTACAACAGCAGTTCCAGCAGTCCCAGTTGCCATCATTAGGTGAATCCCATGCAGTTCCAGTATCCCGCAGTCATGGGATTGCCATTTGCAGCCTTCTGCCAGCTTCCCCACTGACTTTGCTTGTTGAAAGCTGGCAGGGGAGGTTGCAAATGGTGATCCCATGATCGTGGGATGCTGCAACAGCTGCAACTACAGGACCTATATAATCAAATATAACTATATAAGTTCCCCCGCGTTCAACGCTGTTGTAACTTCAAATGGTCGCTGAATGAGTGGACATTAAGCGAGGATTACTTGTATGTGAATTGTAAATTTTAGATTGCTGTTCTTACTCCTTTTCCTCATTCCCTCTCTTTCTTGTGCACAAAGTAACCAAAATCTTCCATCCTTCATCAATAGACAGTACTTGGTGTTAAGTTGAAGCTCCAGAGAGTGATTGGTGGCTCATGTTCCCAAAAGTGGCTGAATTGCATAGGCTGTCTGGAAGCATAGGCTTCGAGGACTAGAAACTTGCTGTTTCTATTTTAGGTCGCAACGAAGAATCTTTACAGTAGCAGCTCTGTACTTGCATGCCAACTGTATATAGACTGGTACCAGTTACTTTAATGTGGGAGTAATGGTGCTTTCTTTCCTTCAGGGTGGCTATAACCTAGAATCTATCTCAGAGTCCATGACCATGTGTACCCGCAGCCTCCTGGGGGATCCTCCACCTCCACTGGGACGCCTAAAGCCCCCCCACCTGAGCGCCCTGCAGTCCTTGGCCCGTGTTGCTGCTGTGCACCGCAAATATTGGATGAGCCTCCGACTAGAAGGTGAATAATTCTCTTCTGTCTGAAGCATCTCTATTCTGTTTGGGCTGATGCTCTTCATAACAACTGCTACAGCCTAGTGACCATGTAGACTAAAAAAAGTCTACAATTCATCTCTTACTCTTACTGTAAAGTGATTGCATTCCCTTAGGCAAGCCAGTAGTTCTCATAGTTTGCCCCCCTTCTGTTCCATAAGAGGCTAATACTATTGAATCATGCATTTGGGGCACTTGTGAAGTGGGAATGTGCCACGGTCTAGAGCAGAATGAGCCACAGGTAGGCAGAAAGGGGACACAACAAGGCAACAAGAGCAGGGGAGTTTCGCAAGGGAGCCTTGAATTGCAGAGCTGGCTGATTGCATGGGTCTGGCAGTTTACTGGCTGAGGGGTTGTGTGTTTTCTTGTTTGCTGAACCCAGAGTGTGAAGAAGGGGCATGGGGGCTTAACAACTGTAGCAGACTTACTGATCAGGTGACCAGCTAGTGAGTGGAGGAAGTAATATATCTTAGCTAGGAGCTTATTCTCAAACGGCACTCTTTAGACAGCAGACAGAGCAAACCAGAACAGAGGAGTTTTACGAGGCAATTTAGCAGGGGGAAGAACAAACTCAGCTTCTGCCAAAAGGAAGGTGCCGTTGTGTGACAAGCTAGGCATGTATCTTCTTACTAGAAGAACTTGCTGATTATACCTATTGGCTTGTCTCCTTGCTGGAGGGGAAGGTAAAAGGATTGGAGGCCAGCCTTTCTCCTTTGAAGGCTCATCAAGGTGAAGATCACATAAATACTGTACAGAGAGAAAGCAAAAAGAATGAATCCTCCGAGGACAAGAGGCCACATAAGTCAATTTCCCATCATTTGAGGTTTTCATAGGGAGGCTGGATGGTCAGACATTTGCCATACTGAGTAGAGAGTTGGACTAGATTACTTATATTACTAGATTACTTTCAGCTCAGTGCAGTGTGGCTTCTAAGCCAAGGGCATACCTGGCCTTTGAGAAGCACGCAAGGGGCTTAACTCCAAGAAGTCGTAAAAAAGTGGGGGTCCATTAAAAGACATTTGATGTTCACAGCCATACCACCAAGGCCTTTCAGCTTGGGGTTTGAGGGTGCTTAGCAACTCTACAGTGTAGGAAAAGAGTGCTAGAGATTGGTTGAACTCTTGCTGATGTTGCAAAAGACCCTTCCCTACAAAATACTGTCACAGGGATGGGCTGCTACAGAACAGGGCAAAGGATGCTGGGGAAGGTTGTGGAAGAGGCCTGATGTAAGAATTCAGAGAAAAGGGATAAGATGAAGTCAGGGAAGAAGGAGGGGGATAGAAGCACAAAAAACTGCCCCAAAAGGGAGGTTGAGTTGGTACTGAACGCCTCTCCATTTAGTCATGCTATGAATTCATGTTCCCACCTCTTACATTCCCATCACTTGAACTGGGTTCCCATCACTTTAACTAAGCATCTGAAAAGTGACTTTTATTTTCCTCCCCAGTACCTGCTACTCTGTGGGAGAAGCCCAGGACCCGGGCTGGGAAGGAAACTCCCATTCCAAATGAGGTTCCTGAACAAGCCCCTCAAGAGTTGCTCCAAAGCCCTGTAGCTCAACCTGTGGAAGCTATAGAAGATGCTATGGCGGGCTTGGGCTCCCTCCAGCTAGAAGACAATCTCATGGAAGAGGGCGAAACAGCTTCGAGTTCTCTCTCTCCTGACTCTAGTCCAGTGGGTGAGGAAGGTCAGCCAAAAGTTGGTGGCTCCCCTAAAGAAGTGGATTCAGCAGAGGGTGCACCAAGAGAAGGCATGCCGGCGGAGGGCTTCTCTGGTGAAGTGACAGCTCCTGACAAAGAGGCAGAAGTGAGCACCGCAGCTTTCTTGTGGATTGGATGGTGGATTTTCCAGGCTGCTTTTCCTTTTGAGGGAATACTTTTCACATCCGCTTGTATTGCCACAGAACTATGGCTGTTGCAAAATTGGGGCATGTGTGAAAGGCTGAGCATTCAGTCCATGGGTGTTCCAGCCCAGGCTTCCTGGCCTCTCCACCAACTCCACGTATGCTGAGAATCAATTTAGGAATGAGGCAACCTTCCCAAATGGCTTCATTATAAGACAAAGATGGTTAGCACTGGGAATGTTTATCCTCCTCCTTGCCTGAGGAGCCCATGATTTACCTCACGGACTCAGAAAAAAACACACTACCCTAAATCTGTGATTTCCTTCTTTTCTTTTTCAGACTTAGAAACATGACCCCTAGGGGACTCTGTTTCCATTTTTCCCTATTTATCTAACTTGGTTCCTCTGCAGCAATTCTCTTAATTTAAAAGAAAGTGACATCTGGTTTTAAATAGTGTTCACTTGAGAGTCTCTGCCTGTTAACAAGCTCTTTGCATGTGTTGGACTACATATCCCATTACATCTAACAGCCAACATTTTTTGGTCATGCTGTCTGGGACAATGGAAGTCATACTCCACATTTAAAGGAACTAAAGCTGGCTTAGAGTAGAAAGGATAGTCTTTAAACAAAGGCAGCTCATTTCAGAATTCAGGTGGTAAAAATTGTTCAAGCCAATTGAAACATTTAAACTATCAAAATTGAGGTTGGAAAGCGATGGGGAGGGGGTAGCTAAGCCTCTTTTCCCTGCCTCCCATTGCCCTTGTTTCTTCAGCAAGACAGGCCCTGTTCTTGAGAACAGTAGTTTTGGAAGCTGCGTCTCTGCTATAAAGCAACTACATTTCAAGGACTTCTGAAAAAGATCAGCCCACATCATCTCAATCTCATCTCTCTTCTTTCCTGTCTCTTACCTTCATCCAGGTGAGCTTGCAACTTCACCCCCCTGTCCTGCTGGATGAAGCAACAGGGGGCGCTCCTTCCTTTGATGAGCAGCTTGGGGAAGATATGGCTGACAGTGTGAGTATTGGGAAGGGAAGTCCTTAGCAAGGGCACCCAGGGCTGGATTTCCTGAGTGCAGAGAAAGTTAGGTTTGAGAGAGCTGCAACAGCATGTCAGTGGCCTAAGGAAGAGTGAGTGGCACATTTGGCTTCTAGTATCAGTGGAAAAGCCTTGAGTACTTACATGAGTCTTTCAGCTAGAGACGGGGGAGACCATGACAGTGTGAAAGTGATTTTACATGGGTGTGATATAACCCCATATGCATATCAGCAGAGATTCCAGGAATGTTGCTGTGATGCACAAGGAGTTAGAGAATAAAGAATCCATGTTGCTAGATCTAGGAATCAAATCTAGTTAAAGCCTGACTTCAGAACTAGCATAGAGGTGATAGAAGAACAGTTCTTGCAAGTCCTACCAAATCCAGTCAGGTTCTGGATTCAAAAGCACCATCCTGAGACAGGGAGGAGGATGGCTGAAGATTATTTAACAGCCCAGATTGCTGAAGATGCACAACAGGGAATTTTCCAAGTTTGGCAAAAGTTCCAGAATAGGGGGGAGTGTAGCTTGAAGGGAAAAAGCCAAGGCTTAGAAGGATCAACCTCTAGGCTAGATGACAGGATAGAGGGATTCTTCTGCTATCTGTTTCCAGGGGCTGTTTTATGCGGTGACTCCCTTAACCTGGTGCCCCCACCTCAGCTCGGTGCTGCCTGTGCCTCCTGTGGGCTTGGACGTGCTGGAGCCTTGTGCAGAATGTGGCAGCAAGATGGAGAACTGGGTTTGTCTGGTGTGCTATAAGGTAAGGTAGTTAATGCAGTCTAACTGGGGACAGACCAGTCCTGAAGCTGCAGCTTTGGGGTTAGAGGCCAGAAGTGGTAGACCTGGGGCTGATAGTGACTCTCCCTGTTCTTGAAGGAAGTGTACTTATTAACTCAGGGTGGGTAACTTTTTGGTGGACAGGGGCCATCCTCCCCCAACAGGTCTCTACTACACAAAGGATTACAGCTGATGGAGCAGTAATGCAACAATATCATCAGAGCTGCATTTTCAGTTCATTGTCTATTTTGCTGGGAGTGTTGCATTTTCTGTATCTATTGTTAAGTCTCTGATGGCATATGACACCTGTTTTGTTTAGTTTCCCATCCAAATTGGCAGAAACTCATGCCATCTTTGAGAGCTCTGTGGAGTAAAAAAGAACTGTCTGTACACAGATTGCTTGTGCTTGTTTTGCACTAAGGTGGCTCTTTGTGCTCCAGTAATACTTCCTTCTGGAAATGCTAGTTTTGAGTTCTTGCTCTGAGACTCATTGTCTGTATGGCCTGCAAGGAAAAGTCCCTCCACATACTCTTGGCCAGGAGCTATTTTAGGGGTTTCATTGACCTGCCTTTATCATCTTCCATCTGACTGGCTTGAATGAAATACACAACAGCAGAATTTGTTCTTCACCATTAACTTTCCTCGCCCTAATATGCTTCCTTTGCTTTGTGAGGAGTAGGCCTTCGAGTAAAGTTGATGAGTTGAGATCGTGACATCTTGGATCTGTGCATTTAATGTTTCAGCCCTGCCCTCCTGAAATATTCTATCCCTTTCAGGTCTGTTGTGGCCGCTACATTAATCAACATATGCTGGATCACAATAAGGAATCTGGGCACCCGCTGGTGCTTAGCTTTGCAGATCTCTCTGCCTGGTGCTATGGCTGCCAAGCCTACATCCATCACCCAGTGAGTTGTAACTGTGGTTTTCTTCTTCTTCTTTTTTTTTTTTTCCACCCTGCCTATGACCTCACTAGGGGCTGCTCCTTCAGCTGAGAAAAACTAAACTTGCAGATTGAGCTGCACCTCTGAAGGTCCATATGAGAGAAATGAAACACCTTCTTCTTCCATTGGCCTTTGAGACTGTCAGTTGCACAGAGGTCATCATATTTTATTGCATGTGGGAAGCACAGGAAAGAATTACAGAGCATGATTTAGGGGAGCCTTTTGAACTGATTACAACACCAGGAAGTCCAACTGGTTGTCATCCAATAGATCTGGAGCATCAGGGAGGAGTGTCTTTAGGAAAGCCTCCTTGGTGTTTTGAGAGCCAGAGCTTTGGTCAGCATATCTAGGATGCTCATCAGGTGACTCCCTACTTGGCAGACAGTGTCCATCATGCTGCACTAGGTTTGCAAAGTGGTCCAACCACACATCTGGCAGATTTTTCAGCTTCCCTCCAGCTTTGTACTTTTGAGACATGTTGGGCTATAAATCCCATCATTCTCAGCCAGTGCATCAGCAGAACACTTGATTAGGAAGCCTTTTGCTTTTTAGATTGATAGTCATTTTAAGAGCATTGAACTTTTTATTTATTTATTTTAATTAAATAAATATTTAATTAAATTTATATGCCGTCCATCTCCCCCAGAGGTTGACTCTGGGCAGCATACAATTAAAAACCAAGACAATAAAAACAATGAAAATATAAATACCCCCCAATTAAAATCACAAGTAACAAAACTGTAAAGCAGTATACAATTCAAGAAGATGGGGGAAGCAGTATCAATCATCCCAGCAGCCAGTTCCAGCGATGCAAGCCCCCATCAGGCCCCCAGGCCATCTGGCATAGCTATGTTTTTACACCTTTTCGGAAGGCCAGGAGTATGGGGGCAGCCTGCACCTCAGCTGGCAAGCTGTTCCACAGGGTGGGGGCCATGGCAGAAAAGGTCCTCTTCCTAGACCCCACCAGCCGAAATTCCTTGACTGGCAGGGTCTGCGACATGCCCCTTCTGCCGGATCGAGTGGGGCGGGCAGATATAATGGGGGCGAGACGGCTCCTCAGATAACCTGGTCCTGTGCCATGAAGGACTTTAAAGGTGATAACCAACACCTTGAACTGGACCTGGAAGCAAACCGGCAACCAATGCAGCTCGCGTAACAGAGGTGTTATATGTGCTGCCCTAGGGACGTTCAAGATTGCACCACTGCATTTTGTGCCAGCTGTAGCTTCCAAATACTCTGTAAGGGTAGCCCCATGTAGAGCGGATTGCAGTAATCCAAACTGGAGGTGACCAGAGCATCAGTGACTGCACAGAGGACCTCCTGATCCAGGAAGGGGCATAACTGATGCACAACACAAAGTTGTGTGAAGGCCCTCCTAGCCAAACTGCCACCTGCTCTTTGAACAAGAGTCGTGAGTCTAGGAGGACCCCCAGATTACGCACCGGGTCTGTCTGGGGTAGTCCAACCCCATCAAGACCCAAAGATGATAACCTCCTAGATCTTGAGGCTCCCCGTACCCACAGCCACTCCGTCTTACCAGGGTTCAGTTGAAGCCTGTTGTCCCCATCCAGGCACCGCGAAAGGGTAGAACTTGGACTAGGAGTAGGGAGACTAGTCCACTCTCAGCTGCAGAAGCTCACTGGGGGACTTTGGGCTAGTCTTTTAGGTCAGCCTATCTCCCAGTCAAATAAAAGGCAGTGTCCCCCTACCACCTTTACACAAGTAGCAAAGCAACTTCTCTTCTTGTAAGAAAGAGTGTTAAATAAATGGCTGGTGTGGAATGGATTTCCTTCTACTGGTAACGGTGTCATTTATTTCCTGGGGTAAAATACACAGTTATGTTGGAGGAAGGATGGGTACAAACTGAACACAGCTGAGTTAAACTTCTGTGTGCCAACAAATTCATAGTGCTAAGGGCCAAATAACATGGGACATAGCATAGGCTTTTGTTTATCTTGGTGTAAGAGTCAGAATTTAAGTGTTGTATGCTGCCCGGAGTCACTTTTTGGGGAGATGGGCAGCCATACAAATTAGATAGATAGATAGATAGATAGATAGATAGATAGATAGATAGATAGATAGATAGATAGGCAAGAATGGCTGCTATGGAAGGAGGGAATAAATCTCTGGCTACTGTAATCCAAGGGAAAAATTCCTTCTGGACATTGTGTTGGGGCGGAAGGAGGAAATGGAAAGCAGTAGTTCTGAACTGCATAGTTTTGATGAGTGTTCCTTCTGGCGGAAGCATGTAAAGCAAGCTGCTTGCAGTTGTCCCTTGGCTTGATGTATGGAGCAAGGTTGAATTGGGAGGGTAACGTTAGAACAGGTTTTGAACTCAAGTCTAGTAACTTTCTTGGGACCGATATATGAAATAAGTAATAATAAAAAATAATTGAAATATAATAGCTCCTCTGTGTGAATTCAGCACTCTCACCAATGCACAGCTCTATCTCTCAGCTTCCATTTTACCAATGGTATGACTGTTATATTAGGGTTAGGGTTAAATTAGTCTCAGTACAGGTAGTCCTCAACTTACAACTATTAGTTTAGTGACTGTTCGAAGTTACGACAGTGCTAAAAAGGTGACTTACGACCAGTCCTCACACTTATGCCCATCACAGCATCCCCATGGTCATGTGATCAAAATTCAGGCACTTGGCAACCAGCAGCTCAGCATCCCGGGGTCATACAATTGCCATCTGCAACCTTCTCAGCTGGTTTCTAACAAGCAAAATCAGTGGGGAACTCTGTGATTCGCGTAATGACTGCGGCAAAAAAGGTTGTAAAATCGGGTGCTGTCAAATGACACCTCACCTCAGGGCTACCTATAAAGGAAAAAACACAGGGTAGATGGCCAAATCCAATTACTGATGATCAGTGTGAGTTTCTTTTTCTTCAGGTCCTTCTTGAAGCCAAGTGCCAGGCCCACAAGCTGAAGTTTGGAGTGGACATGCACCTGCCTTCCTAAGGTGACTTTGTTCAGAGGGAAGTCCTAAGACTGAATGCAGCACAATCAACCATCATTTGACCTCACTGAAGTGAATCCGAGGCTTAAAGGGCTCTTGTGCCAAAAATAGCCAGCAATCATCAATTGCAATGCCACCAGCAGCCACCAATCAAGCACCAGCACCCTCACTGCTTCCGCTAGAACAAAGAACGTCCTTCTGGTCCATTCCATGAAGGGGAAGAATCACATGTTAGTGCGTTAAGGATATCTTTGCTTCCGATCAGAAGTACTTCACTTTCTTCCATGCTGAAGAAACTCCAGTGCCAATTTTCTTTTTACTAAAGGGGCAAGGGGCTCACTTTTCGAGTGTCTGATTGTGCAAGACTGCATTTCCCTTCATATTACTGTATATTCCTCTAAATCATCTCTCCTCCATGTTATAGTGATTTTTTTGCTCAGTTGGAAAAAGCCTATGTTGATTTTAAAGTAATGTGCAGGGCATTGGAGTGAATGAGAGAAAGGGTGTTTCCCTTGAGATTAGAGTAGGATGTGACAAGCGGTCAGTCCAGACGTTGGTCTAGCCTTGTTAAGAATCTACATTATAATTTTAAGACTGAGTTCACATTTTGGACTTCAAACCGTGTATATGCATGTATAGGTAAAAGCAAGAAAGGGAAACAGCAGTTTCCACATGAAGCAAGTTGACCTGAGCCATGACAGCAAAACCACTGTTTATGTTGAATCATGACGCTCCTAGAAAGTTGTTATTTGAATTACCATGGCAAGCACTGTGTTTATGCGCACGTTGTTTTCTGCAGATAAAAATGAGAATGAGCCTGCTGCAAAAGGGAATGTGAGAATTGGGCCTTGATTGCTGTATTGGAAATAAGTTGGTGCAGTTGGCTTGTTAAGCAAGGAGCAGGATGGCCTTCCCTAGGGGTGAGTTTCTGTCCTTGGCAAATGACTGGGGAAGCATGCATTGGACTCCCTGGCCACTTCCAAAGTTGCAAGGTGGCAGAGCTAGGGGGTGGAGTGGTTTAGGTCTGCAGTATGAAAGCCTTAAAGCTTCTCTTCTATCAAGCTAAAAAGTGGTCAGGAGGAAAAGCTTTAAACTGGTAAAATAAGACGGCACACCCAGCCTTTAAATAAGGGTGGCCAATGTGGTGCTGTTTAGTTTATAGCTCCCGTCATCCTTAGCTAATTAAGTTAGCTAGGATTGATGGCATGTCCAAAACATCAAGACAGGACCAATTTGCTTCATGCTCTGAAAGCTGATGGAGGAAAAGGATACGTGTTGAAAAGAGTTAATGGGGGAGGGTGGCAAGAAGAAAAGATGGCTGGGAAGGGCTCACTGTGTGTGTGAAAGAAGCTCATCATCTTCCACTTGAGGGTGCATCATTTTCCAGGGCCGGCCCTGGTGGATTTGTGGGGAGGGGGATGTATGGCTATTATAAGGTTGATCTGAAGATGGAGAGAGGGTTGATACTGAAACTTGAGAATTTAGTTGGATTGTAGCCTCCACTGAAAAAAAAATGTTTGCGTATGTTTCTCTGCCTGATTTGTAATCTTTGTAATTCAAATAAAGTGCTCCTGCTTGGAATTGCTGTACGTGGGTGTAACTTAGGGGGATCTCAGCGGAGAGAGGTGCAGTGTTAAGCTTTTGGGGGTGAGACCGATCTGTCTCCATCCCAGGATTCGGCTCAGCTTGCGGGCTGCCATGCTGAGTTTATAGTGTCCTCACTTTCTGCCAGTACCTACTTCTTCACAATTTCCTATAATATGTATAAATTTGGAAAAGTATGATACTGTATGCCCAATGATGAGAGTCTACGTGGTATATTGGTAAAGGTGCTGGACAAGGAGTAGGGAAATCCAGGTTCTAGTCTTCCCTTAGGCATAGAAATTACTTGAGTGATTTTGGGCCAGTTACCTCCTCTCAGCCCTGATCCGCATCAGACTCTGCAACAAGTTGGCTGATAAACAAAACCCCTTGGTCACATCATGCATTGATAACTTTGCTGTAAGACCTAGGAGAGCATGGCGCAAAAACTAGCAGGCTCTGCAACTTTGAGGGACAAATGCTAAGAAAAACAACAGCAACCACATGATGGATCCGTAGGTCATTTGGGAAGCATCAGTCCCTTTCCCTGCATCTTCTTCCCTTTCTTTCTGGCATATACTGCTAGGCTATCCATTGCGTCTGTTTGCAGGATCCAGCATTGGAAACCTGGACCAGTTTGCATCTCTGTGTTGCTTTGCCTTTACTTCTGCTTCTAGCCCATTGGAAAGATTCGGGAGAGCAAACCTAATTCCTCTGCTTCCTTCTCCCTATCTGGCAAATACTGAACTGCTCAAAACAGCTATGCGATGCCACTAGAAAATATACAGGTCCCAGAAAACTTCCTATGGAAAAAGACTGGAATAATATATAAGCCATGGGGACATTTCCTGATTATCAGAGTAGGATGCAAAGGAGGGGGGGAAAATAGCCTTGAGTTTGTGATGTTCTGTAGCATTGCCTTGGATTGGGATTAGAAAGCCTATGGGCAGGCTATATGTAGAGTTCTGGTAAGTAATCACTAATTCAGTGTACCAATTCAGCATTCAGTATAAATTAAAGCACAGTAGAAGAAAAATACATGGCCCTAACTATTTGGCATATTTACTAAGATACCGAAGACACATGGGGCCTTTTTCTCATGCCCTGATCCGTGAATAGTATTTTAACCTCTTTATTTCAGGAAACAACATTGTTCTTTTGATTCTTAATAGCTGTTCTGTATAAATGCATGCATACGTGTTTGTGTGCATATACGCAGAAGGTAGAAATGCCATGCTGAGTTAATGGGGACTAAGGTTCACAGGAGGAGCAGTGTAGCCCTCTACATGTCAGCTTGAAAGCAACTCCCAGAGAATTCAGTGGGACTTCCTTTTTGGCAAGTACGGTAGAATTGTCATGCAACAAACTAGAAGGCCTAAAGATACAAAACACATTTTCAGACGCATCCAACTTTAAGGAGCTGCAGTTCAATTTACATGTTACAAGTGGGAATCACTTTAGCAGTGTTGATTCAATTTAGTTTCAAGCTAAAAACAGTAGTGTCACATCTGTCAACAGGCAGAATTCCCAAGGTTACAGCCAATGCTATTGGATGCCCGACATGTATTTCAGCTTTATTTTGCCCTTTACCCAGCATTTCATTTTCTTTTGTTCTTCTCCTTTTTTTTTTCTTCTTGCCTCCTCCTCCTCCTCCTCCTCCTCCTCCTCCCTGTGTTCTTCTCTTCACTCTGCTCAGTTGCTGTAGCACACACAGCTCCTGTTTCCTTGAGAAAACACAGTAAGGGCATCTCAGATGCTGGTGGGCTGAGCAATATGGCATCTGAAGTCTGTGCCTACAAGCAGCCCTAGTCCCTACTGGTCTCTTTGGAGGGAGAGGTTTGTTCCCATGATAGAGGTAATTTTCTTGAATTCAGCAAACCTCGCGTTTTCCCTGAACGTGTATGTTTCTCAGGGGCCTTGTTTGTGCCCCTGTTCTGCTGACACTTACCAGTCACTAGAGGGAGTAGAGTTCATATTCGTTGTATAGAGAGCTTTAAAGTGTTCCAAGCATTTCTCGGTACAGCAATGTGTTCAAGAATCCTCTAAGGTATTTAAGAGCTATCATAATCGTCTTCATCATCTCTACATTGCAAATGAAAGTGGCAGAGAAAGGTGCTACCTACCTCATCGCCTCTGAATTCCTGGCAGAAGAAAGTTGCAAGGTAGAATAGCACCTAGTCTTTAGGTGTAGTTCTCACTGCAGTGGGTGAATCTATACTGGCGTGTGTGTATGTGTGTGTGTGTGTGTGTGTGTTGGCAGAAGGCTCGGCTGGCTGAATGCTCTTTCATAGCAGGGCAGCGGATGGCTGAGCTGCGACCCATCTCCCTTATTCCTTCTGCGTGTGACGTTGTATCACACGAGCTGCCGCGTGAGTATGAAGTGGTATAGTCCAGGCAAGGGTAATCACCGCTTCAGCAAGCCAACATGCCATACAGCAGTTCTGGATGATCAATGGGCTGCATCGATAACCAAGGACTTGTCTATTTTATTCAAAGGCGTTTGCTGCCTCCTGCTGGAAGCTCTAATCCCTTCCCTGGCATTTGCCTGCCTGGTGTGGCTAAGGGAAAGGGGGCACTGTTTCTGCCCTCCACCCCCACCCAAGTCTCCTTCCTCTTTCCTTCGTCTCCTCTCCCTGTTCTCCTAAGCCAGGGCATGATTTAGCAGTGGGCAGCTGGTGAACCTCTGCACCCATCCTCTTGCGTGGAAGATGAACCGGGCAGCAGATGCTCTGAGCCCAGTCCTGCTCCTTCTTCCCAGCAGCTCTTGCTCAGGGAGACGGAAGGAGAGGAAAGGGCAAGGCCAGTGGGCGCTTGGCCAGGTGGCTGCTTCTATCTCCAGGGCAGGAGAAGTAAGAAGCAGGCTAGAGAGTGATGAGGTTGGGAGGGAAGAGAAACCAACTCCCTTCCCCCTCTCTCAGCACCCTGCAAAAGAAGGAAGCCAATCTTGAGAAGGAGAGAATGTAGCATCGCCTCCCCCCTCCCCCCTTCTTCCATCACCATCAGCAGAGGAGTGCTGCGACTGCAGAGCAAAAGAGCTTAGCGATCCTCACCCCAGGAGATCCCTGCAAGGAATGGGGGACTCTCCTGACAGCTTCTACGGGTGGAGAACCTGAACAACTCGGTGGAGAAGTGGAGCTGCTGGAGCAGAGGTCTGCTGGGTTTTTCCCAGAGGAGGAGGAGCTGAGCAGAGGAGAGGAGAGGAGAGTGGCCAGAGGAGGGGTGCATCAACTGGCTTCGGGAGTGAAGGCTTGTAGGCTTTGGCTCCCTGGAGAGGGAAAGAAAAGCGCTTCTTGGGGAAGGACACTTGCAGCAGGCCCTCAAAGGAGACGCAGACCATGTTGGCAGCCCGAGAAGCAGCAGCCCTCTATCAGACCGATTTTGTGCGCAATGCCAGGGCGGTGGGTGCTCTCTGGGCTGGCTGTAGCCTCTGCTTTGGCATCTTGGAGGTGGTGGTGCTTATCCAGCCAGCATGGGTGCAGACAGCCCCCCTCACCTACCAGCTGCCAGTCTCCGGAGCCCTCTCTGACCCCAGTGTGAGCGCCGTGGGCTCCTTCGGCCTCTACCAAGTCTGCATGGAGCAGGATGGGGTCCTCCAGTGCGAGGGGTCTTTGGTCACCCTAACCCCCATCCCATCTTTCAAAGCAGCTGCTGTCTTTGTCCTGATGGCCCTGGTGTTGGTGATGGGCAGTGTGGCCTCCCTGGGTCTTTTCTGGGTCTGCAGTGCAGGGACTGTCTACAAGGTGTGTGCCTGGCAGCAGCTTTCAGCAGGTGAGAGAATCCAGGTTGGGCTGTCATTTTTGAAAACACAATGTATAAAAGGAAGAAACTTGGAAGGGGGTGGGGTGGGAGTGGGGTGGGGGAAGAGTTTGCAAAATGAGATGCTACCGAGGCTCAGGTCCAACACAAGCCATGCTGTATGCTTGACAGTTGAATTTGGAAGACAAACCACAAAGTTTGGTCTCTTGACAAGGATAGGAATAGCCAAACCAAGACACGACCACGCAGGCTTCATTCAGAATAGTTGGGAATGTTTAGAAGCAGGGGTTATGTTTCCCTTCCACCAGTGTCCCTGAGTATGCTGATTGTTCTTCACTTGCTGCAATGAGAGAAAATGGTTCTTTACCACTGAGTGAGCCTGTATGTCCTTCACCATCAGGGATCCTATCTCCATCAAGCTAGATTGCAAACCTGACCTTTCTCCTTAGAGGACCTTCTTCTGGTTTTATCAGCAATAGCAGCATTAAGAGTGAAAGAAGTTCCAGTGACCAGTCTTTGGAGTTAGCAAAGTCAGAGAAAGCAGAATATAATCCATGGGCAGGACATAATGTTTTTTTAAGAAAGCAAAAGTCAGTTCTGCATCCAGGTAACCCAGACACCATTCTAAACAAGCTAAGCTCTGAAACCGGTGTGAACTGTGCAAATGTACATAATTTTATTTCTGTGTGATGTATTCACTTTTTTTGTGCGGTGTATCCTGATTTTTTTTTTTTTTAGTAATAGGGAAGGATGTGGAAACATGCAGGGCTTGTTTGCACTTTTAGGTTTTAGCAGTCATCGCCCACATATTGTCGAGCATCTCTTGTGGCATTAAAGGTGCCGGCTTGGTTTAGAAATGAGTGCTGACCTTGGGAAGTTGAATTATGGGCTCAGTACATGCAGCCCTGAGTGAACAGAGTGCTCCTCTGCAGGTCTCATCCATTTCAATTAGGGTAGGGTAGGAGAAGTTCTTGGCGGACAGTGTCATTTATTAATTAGCAGGAGGATAGTGCCATAGATGTCCATCTGAAATGCCAAAACGTATTGGGTCACAGTCAGACTGATCAGACTGAAAAGCAACCAGTTCTCTCTCTCCACCTGGCTTCAGAATTGTGAGCCCTTTGGACACAGCACCCTCCATAGACCTCTTTAACCTGGAAATGCTGGGATAGAGAATTCCACAGACTGAAGCCAATCTTCCTGCATTTTCTGTGGGGAACAAAAACTTTCTGGTGATCTCAGAG